GTCTTACTATCTGTACAGGGGAGTGGGAACAATCCCCTTTCTTGATTTATATTGTCATCCTAACGGGGTTCAAAGACTGCAGTTATCTTACCTCTTCCCTGCAGCAGTATTTGCCTTAGATTGCATGTTTAGGGCTCTCTCTTTCTCTGATCCTTGTAACCCCTTTTCCTGCCCTTGTGACTGTATATTGGAGACGAGGTCTACAACTCTTATTTAAAGTCCAGTTACAGGGCTATTCAACATTACAGACCCCATTTACATGAGACTGCTCACGGGAGAAGGGTATCAGCTTACTTCACAACAGAATTGCACAGCATATTCAACATTTAATTTGCTTGAGAGAAACTAGCAGTCCCCTGCTGGGTAGCTGCACTGTTTCTTTGCTCTCCTCCTGCGTGGGACTTTACGCTTTCAGTGATATTGAATTTCATCACATTGCATGCAGGTCTCTGTGGGTTTCTCCAAATCATGCTGTAGAGTTTGGTTCTGTCCTCCTATGTCTGCTACTTAGCTGTTTTGTTTTGTTCTTTGGGGGGGGCGCAGGCAGGAGAGAAGGTATCACTTGGAATTTGGTCACTGCTTACTCTGTATCTTCTTGTAACTCACTAATGAAGATATTAACTTCTGATTTCTATTGTAGTCAATGTGGTACTATTCATACATCTTCCCCTTCCTTTGGAGTCTTTTCATTACTTAGACTTCTAACCCAGACTGTAGTAATTTTCAGGAGGGTAAGCTTTTCTCCATGTTCTTATTTTGGGGTGGGGATTCTCTATGAACACCTTAGCGAATCCACATACTGCACTACGGCCACTTCATTCCTTGTATTCACTAAATCGGTAATTAGGTCGCAGGATATGTTTGTTTAGCATGTTTTGTTAAGTGTGTTGGTAATTCTTGAACTTTTCTCTGAAATAGCCACATGCTGGAATATTGCCCTTGGAACTGATCTCAGACTAAATTAGCCAACAGCATAGATGGGGGTGCAAAGTAGGTTAGGAAGGCCTGTTTATACAGATATCAATATACAGGGCATGGAATTGAGGATGGGATTGGAACCTTTCACCGACTCCAATTCAGTCCATGTCAGTAGAGGCAGGTCATTCTCACTGGATAGCTGTTCCATAGCCTATGGGGCACGAAGTGAGGATCTCAGTTCTGATTCTAGGATGACAGATATCCCAGTCACCTATACCTCAAACACCAAGGACTGAATGGGCTGTGATTTCCTCTAGGTTGGGGGGCGGGGGGAGAGTACACTGTAGGGAAAGCTTGCTGTTCTGCAGATAAGGAGAGGACTTCCATCTCCAGGGCTCATCAAGCCAACAACAGACTGAACCTCAGAGAGGCTCTGTGACGTTGCACTCTATATGATTTTATAAAAATATGCTAATGAGTGAATACAATGTAACTGGAATATGCTTCATGCAAAAGGTCTCTTGTAAGGTATCATTACAAAGCTTATAATCTACTGAGTGGGGTCATCCTATTTGTATAAATGTATCATTCTTGTATCTGAAACTAGAAATATGAAATATAACTCTGAGGGCCTATTGTAATTATGCAAAGTGTGGGTCATTAATGGTGGTTTGAAACCTTGATGGCTCCCATCAACCAGGACAATTGACTGTGGATGGCTCTGTTTGCAGGCAAGCCTTCCTGTGAGTCAGGCTGGGAGAAATGAAGGCTTGGGGTCTTACAGTGACATGTGATCATGTCACCTGAACTGGAATCCATCTTTAACCTAGTGCTTTTCCATTGAGAAGGGGAGGAGGGTGGGGACCCAGAGGGACAAAGGATTCCTGCCTTATGCAAAATATATATAAATGGGTGGAACAGAACAAAGTGAGGAGCCATCATGAAAAATCCCCTAGCTACCACCTGAGCTGGAACAAGACCTGTACCGGTGAAAGAATTGTGCCCAGGCCTGGAAGGTGTCCAGTCTGAGGAAAAAACTTACTGAAGCATCTCTAAGGGTGAGATTATCTGTATTCAGTTTGATTAGACATAGATTTGCATGTTTTGTTTTATTTTGCTTGGTAATTTACTTTGTTCTGTCTGTTACTACTTGGAACCACTTAAATCCTACTTTCTGTATTTAATAAAATCACTTTTCTCTTATTAATTAACCCAGAGTATGTGTTAATATCTGAGTGGGCAAACAGCTGTGCATCTCTATCAGTGTTATAGAGGGCGAACAATTTAGGAGTTTACCCTGTATAAGCTTTATACAGGGTAAAACGGATTTATTTGGGTTTAGACCTCATTGGGAGTTGGGCATCTGAGTGTTAAAGGCAGGAACACGTCTGTTAGCTGCTTTCAGGTAAGCCTACAGCTGTTAGGGGACGTGATTCGGACCTGGGTCTGGGTTTGCAGCAGGCTAGCGAGTCTGGCTCAAACCAGGCAGGGTACTGAAGTCCTAGGTTGATGGGGCAGGAAAGCAGGGGCAAAAGTAGTCTTGGCACATCAGGTGGCAGCTCCCAAGGGGGCGGGGTTCTGTGATCCAACCTGTCACAGGCTTATACTGCTCTCCTGTCTTAAAAGGGATCCCCTCTCTCAACCCAACATATGCCATTTCCGTGTCAGGTTTGAATGGATTTGACAAGGGGCCCCTCTCCAGCACGGGCAGATATACCCAGCACCCCAACCTTCCAAGAAGTCCAAAAAGGGCAGATAATTGAACTTTTCTATGATATTTTGGAAAGAAAAATTAGCAGCCAGTACCCACAGCAAGTATGAATCAACGTTGTGTCATGCAAAGCCAACATCATCTGTATTTGGCACATATAGGGAGCCACCCACATGTGTGTTCGGGGCATTTCTTTTGTACTTTTCAGATCAAATGCAGCTCTCTCTGCTAGTCCGGTCCAGCCCACATATTTATGATAAACTCTAATCTTGCCCTGCAGCACTCCCTACTCCACCCCCATGTTATTCTAGTCCTGGACTCCGCTTATCTTTCAAAACATACATATTATTAAGTAATGGCATCCTCTTGCTCTTGCCAGCTCTGACTGCCCCACCCCACAGTCCATCCCGCTGTTTATCAGCAGCAGTCTGTTCTGTCTAAATTTGCATTTGTAAGATCTTCAGTGCACAACTGCTAAGATAAAGTCTGCACAATACCTCGCACGCTTTGGGTACTATATAAAAATAATAATAAACTTTTAGGCTACCTCTTATGTAGCATTTTGCATCAGCACTTTACAAAGCAGGTAGGTATCACATCCCTGTTTTACAGATGGGGAAATGGAGGAAAAGAGAGGTGAAGTGACATGGCCACACTGGGAACAGAACTCAGGTCTCCTGAGGGCTAGTCCATTGCTCTATCCACTAGGCCACAGTGTCTCTCATATTGAGGATAAGAAGTCTCCTAGGAAGCTGACAGGCTCACATGTCCCTTTACTAAGAGACCAGCATCAAGATTTCATTTTCTAATTTATTGTGCTACAATCTGCCCTCCGTAACTACGGTTCTTTGATTCCTGGAGTCTGCTGGAGGCAGACAGAAGCACGTGTGGGGAAATAAGGGAGCTTTACGAGAGCACTCTGTGGACCAGACCTCCTCTCTGAGGATCTGAAGTTACATTTTAACTTGAAGTCCCAAGCTGTATGACTGGATGGGGAAGGGAATTACGAGTGGGATAAAGAGCCTTTCCCTTTCAGGTTACCAGTTCCTGACAAGCTCAGGCCAGTAATTACCTCCAACAACTGGTCAGCGGTCCACTGGAAGTGAACTAGAGGTTCACTTATTTCCTATTGGGCAAGTCTCTGCATTACAGCTAAAACTATTCTGCTGTGACTGAGGTCAGGGCTTGAAAGTCCAATAACTGCGGGAGCCAAGGAGACTAAAATCCCTGCGCTCTTGCTTAAGAAGGGCCCTTCCCAAAAAGGTCCAAGACACACATGCAGGGAGAAGCTGGCATGCTACTGACTGTCTCACCTGTTCTGAAGGTTTCAGTCTCTAGGGCTGTCATCCCAACACCTTTCTTTCACCAGCACTAAAATTCACTCTAAAGAAAACACAGCAAGCCACGCAGGTGACAGTAGCTATAAGTTATTTATTCTGCAAAACAGAGGTATCTTCTATGGAGTTAAACACTGGTATCACAGCGTAGGGTTTCTGCACTTCAATGTACAATGACTCCGTATATATACATACAATGTACAGCCACTGTACAGACATCTGCTCTTGCCCTCGCCATAACAGAGCCCTCCTTGCTGACTTTGTCCATAATACTGGTGGTGAGGGATAAGTTTGTGACCCCTTCCCATATTTATGGGGTTTCCCAGAGAAGGTGGTGAAATGCAAAGGCCACACACATGTTGATGAGACAGTTGCACCAGCACCCAAGCCCAGGGTTCATCACAGCCTGGATCCCGGTTACAACTCATGACAGAACCTGGCCACCACCTGGAGTTATTTCATTCTCACCTCAGTCTTCATTTGCTCCTCTGGGCGAGCTCCTGGTGGTTGCAAGGCACCCCTCTTCTCCCTACATCAGGACACTGTCAATATTCCCTGTTCACCATGGTCCATGTTCCAAAGCCGGTAGAACTCTGCAAAGTCCACGTAGGGCTCAACACGTCCATCCTCATCTGGCTGGAGTGAGTGGGAGGGGCGGGAGCGGAAGAGGCCCCCATCTGAGCTCGAGCTGCTGCTCTGGGTATGGGTGTTTGTGGACTGGAGAGTCACTGTTGGGCTCTGACTGCAGAAAAGGGCAGGGAGAGAACAGAGACATGTTCATTTTAATCTGTCCATGCCTAGTGCATATCAAATGCCAATGCCTCTTAACCGTATCAAAATTACCCTCCCCGCGGCTAACAGACACACGTAGCTGCGGTCCCTCACTCCTCCAGGAACATTATAGAGACATGTTCAGATCCACTCTTGATATTCACAGGTGATAAGAGAGCTGCCTCATCATGACAGGCCTGATGCATGGAACATCTGAGGGGTGGAGGACAGAGTAAGAGAAAACTGAGGGGGAAAAATCAGACTTCCTTCCTTGCCCCTACAGCAGAGTCTGGCAATAAGAAGCGCTTTTCACCGTGTGAACTGCAACGTGGATGTGGCAGCTCCACTCTTCCTGGAACAACTGGAAGGTGGGAACCAAAAAGTTACTGGCACAGCAGGAGGTGTACGCCCCCCTCTATGGCAAAGGTGGCGCTGAAATCAAAGCCAACCATGATCTTGCATGGTGGAGAAATGCCCCTTCCAAAAATATGATGTAAATTCAACCCTTCTTTTCTTTTCTTCTGCGTGCAATCCACCAGACAGACAGGCGACCCACACAGCCACAGCCTCTCCATGGGCCAGCCAGCTGACCTGAGGCCCTTGATGGAGTGGGCAAGCCCAGGCTCCCCTACCACTGCCCAGGTGCTGACTACTAGACCACCCAGTCCACCAAGGATCCTATTTATTCCACCACCCAAATCGCACCGAGTGAGAAGCAGGGGGGGACAATTGGTACTGAAACAGCACACAGCATTTACTTAGTGAGCGTGGGTGTGGCTTCATCCAGGGTGGAGCTGCTGTGGGCACCGTTGACCATCTGGCCTTGGGAAGGCATGACAAGGGACAGCGTTACGCTGGTCTTGCTTGTGCTCTGGGCACTGGAGTATGGCACAGAGACAGGATAGATACGGCCTCCTGAGAAGGGGAGAAAAAGGAACATAACAGCTGTCATGAGATGTGGGAGAGTGCATGGAAACCCCAGTGTCTGTAGTTCCCCACAACTGCCAGAGGGGTGTCCTGGCCTACTGAGATCCAATATGTCCCCAGTTGCTCTCTCCAGTGCCCTCCAGTCTCTGAATCACACTGTGCAAGGACACCTTGGACACCTGGTACTGAAGTGACAATTCCCTTAAGGTAGAGGGGAACAAAATCTCCACTGAAGGCTTCTTCCCCTGGCATCAGATCAGTGTTGGCAGGACAGAGGGGTACTAATCTCCACTCCACCCACCCTCTTTTTCCTGTTCTCCCCCTCCCATACCTTGTGTCGGAGTCAGCATGGGCTGGCTCATCTCGCCCAGCGGGTACCCAAAGTTCCTCACCAGCAGCGTCATGTCTTCATGCCAGGGGCAGAACTTGGATCGTTCCCCACCACTGGCAAAAGTGTCACAGTGGATCCGCTTAACCCGGTCCACCACAGCCTGCGCCACTGCATCCAGCGATGTTTGCTTAGCAAACTCTGTGGCAATCATGGCTGCGATCTCCTGACCGTGGAGAGAGAAAAGGACTTTAGGAGAGGATTCTGGGGGAACTCTGACCCAGCCATCCAGCATAAAAGGTTCTTATGGTAACTGCCCAGTCAGATAGTTGGAGAGGCCTGAATGTCCCACCTTGAATTGACCTTTGTGGTCTGGAACCATCCCACTGCCCCAATGAACTGCTCCATTTCAAGAGAGGGAAAGCAGCTGGGAAAAACCACTCTGCCAGAACAGCTCACTCACCCCACTGCAGACTGGGATGATGCACACAACCATGCTGGCACTAACAGGACATCAGTGCAAGGCAGCTTGCGTGAGTGGAGCTGGTACCGATGGGATGATTTAACACCTTTGGGAATGCCTCCAGCCAGGAAGATCTCACCTGATTGGCCTGCCCGGGCCCGTGAGCCGCCTCCAAAGCTTTGTAGAGCCCTTCTGACATGAGTACCAGGAAGCCAGTCACCCCATCCAATGGCTGCCCTCCATGGATTTCAGGCTCTGATATGATGGGCTTAGATTTAGCAGCACTGAATGGAGAAAGCTGATTTAGTATTTAATAGAGTGACGCAGGCAGGTGGAAGGGGGAACCTGCCTTCAGAAGGAAGCAGGGCTGGGGAGAGAGCAAGACCACAAAGTTGAACTTTTTCTAACCTAAGCAGTTCAATATCAGTGTAGCCATATTTGACCTTGTAATCCCCAATGCGCCGGGTGCTCTCTTGCCCACAGATAGTTCCAACTTGCTTTATTTTCCCTGCATCCAAACCTGACAGATAAAGAAAAAAAGTTAATTGATTCTTTGATATACTTGCTGAAGTTCCTGCACTTGTATCCTGAGGAAGGAGAAAGGAAACACCCATAGTTAAAGATACCACAAAGGGTAAACTAAGGGACATGAAGAGACATCAGGAAACCTCCAAGAACTCAACAGGGAAGGGAGGAAGAGTAGCTCATCCTGTCCCAGTTTTTGCAGGAGACAGCTTTCCCCCATCAGTTGCTCCAGGAACTTGAGAGAAGAGCAAGAGAGCACACGTACATGTACACACACACATACAGTGAATTGGACAGTTGGCCCTGGGACAAAAAGCTCACATCCTGTTCCAAAGCCACTACTAGCTGCAGTGCTGGGTGTACAGGATTTCCAGAAACACGGTGGAACTTTATGACAAGGTTGCCTGTAGACCCTGCAAAAGGGGAGAGAAGGGTGTCTTATGTGAAATAAGATGCAAGGGTCTCTGTCCAGCTGCCTCTCCATGTGCGACTGCCACCCCAGCCCCCAACCTCTGTATGACGGCTTCAGCCCCACTGCACCATCTTTGTAATCCAGGAGTTGAGTGAGTGAGGAGAACAAGCAAATTCAATGCCTCTTACAGATTAGGTGCCTACATTAGCATCAGCTGCTCCCGAGAAAAGGGTAAAAAACCCATTGATCAGAGCAGCAAGCAGGCAGTTAGTTATATGGAAAAAAAGTTAGAAGGAATAGGAATATAAACCCTTATGCTTCAGGACATAAACCAATCACTAACTAGCAGCGGTTAGGAAGGAACTTCACATCTGGGCAGGTTAGTTGTCCATTCTGGGGGTTCTAGCATCTTCCATTGAATCATTGGGTCGTGACTACTATTAGAGACAGAATTCTGGACTAGGCAGGCCTCGAGAGTCTGATCTGCACTGGCAATTCCCATGTTCCTAGTTATGACCGGACAACAGGCACAAAAATTTTTTGGAAAAAATTAGCTCTAGAGGGTGACTATCACCACCCCAAGGTGAACGCAGGAGTCCAGGTCAGACTCCCATTTGATTCCAATCACATTCACTACGTGGACGGTCCAACATCTACTCCCAATAGCAAGGCACAGCCCTGAAATCTGCTGCAGGCTGAGACTGACTCAGTCATTTAGTGTGGCTGACTTGCTGACTCCTGGCATGGATGATTCTTGCGATTGACAGACCAGTACAAAGAGGCTCCTGGTCTGCTAACCAGTCAGTGTGTATGCTCCAGCCTTTACATATGCCTGTCAGTCTCAAGTGTTGCATAAAGGCTGCTAGGAGTTAGATATCGATTGCCAGTAAAACCAGAAGGCACAACCAAAATGGAGCTTAACCAAGTAAGGGAGAGCATCAGGAACAATGTTAAACTTCTGATACATCCACCTCTAGTGTCAGTGGGCTGTAACTGCAGACAGAATCAAGTAGGATACACTGGCTGGCTAGGGGATTGGGTGTGCAGGCAGCAGAGTGCATAGCATGGGGCCCTGGGGAAAAGGAGCCTTATGTGACTGTGTAGTCCATAAGCCTGAGGCCACCACTGGTTTTTGGGGGTGTTTGGCTGCATATATCACCACCCAGAATGCCCCTCCAGCTCATAGCTACTTCCCAGGTGCTTCTGGAGAACAAGATGTAAGGTGCTGGACTGACAGCCCTGAGACAAAATCCTCTCTATCCCCACAACAGGTATAGCACAGGCGGCAGCAGCAGTGCAAGCTCCAATTCCATATTATTCCTCATTAATGTATGTAACCTAGCCCTGGAGGGACCTACTCTGGGGTGAGAAGGGAGTTCAGTCACCATGGCTCATTCATTCCTTGGCCTCTCTGCTTGACTGCCAGCAAAAGGCCAAAATAGTGCCAAATGAGAAGGGGGTTTTGTGAGGCAGACACCAGTACGGATTGGAACTGGACCGAGCTCTGACCGCTTTTTCATCATCCCGGAGGGCTGCCTATCTCTGGCTCCACTGAGCACAGCTCCCCTCTTTCTGGGGCTCATCACTTACCCAGCTGGGAGAAGCGGAAGAGCTCATCCTCATTCTCCGTGGTGTGGTCCACGTTCAGCTGTGTCACCTGCAACCCGTCCACCGTAGACTTGCACAGCAGTGCGCGGTTTGTACCTGTGGTGGGAGCAGCATGTGAGGACCTGGTGACTATAAAGAGAGGGTGGAGAGGTGGAAGAGAGGGAGAAAATCCGAAGGGATGATAGGAGGAAAGGGGAACAAGGGAGGAAAAGAGGGAAGGGAATGAAGAACACACAAACCTTCACAGCAATCTCCTACAAATAGCTCCTCAATAGCATACAAAACAATCTGGACCAACCCCTAATCCAGTGCCTGCAAACATAGACGGTTCCTTTCTTCCCTAGGGAACTGCACTACTGTACAGAAGCCCCTTTCCCATGTGTCTCTGGTCACAAACATTAGATCAGCCAACCTTTGGAGAGGCGCAGACCCAGCAACCAGCTTCTGGACCATTTTGATTTCACTGCCATCCCCAATTAACTTGAGTGCATTTCTCACAATGTAAGAAGCAATCCAATTGTTCCCCAAGCTCAGGTTCTCCTCACTCTGCCAGAGCTGCAGCCACCCTCAGAAATATCAAGATCGAGCAGGTGCAGAAGAGGAACACACCTACATTGGCGATGTAGAGCTTGTTGTTGAGTATGACAGCCACAACAGCCATAGCTCCTCCAGAGATCTCCCGCTCTAAGGCCTTCAGTCTCTCCAGGATCTTCTGGTACTGAGAAGGCAGCTGGTGGTGGGGTACTCCCTAGAACACAGGATAAGGGGGGAGCTTAAACTTACACAACCCATGGCATCGAAATCACAACCGGACACTGTAAGCTCTTCAGGGCAGGGACCATCTTTAATCTTGTGTCTTGTGCAGAGCCGAGCACATTGTTTAGCACTGAAAAATAACAGTGCCAGATCTGACATACCTTGGAGACAGAAGTCCTGTTTATTGGCAGAACAGACACTTCATAGGCACAGAGGCCATGCCCACTTCCCTGCCTGTATGCCTCAGCCTTGTCTTAGAAGGAATACATCTATAATGGTGATTGCAGAGTTTAGTCTCCATGACCCATTCAGTTCTTGGCCTCTCTGCTGAGACTAACAGTAAGAGGTCCAAGTAGTGCCAGTGGTGATGGTGGGTTAATGTGATGTGGGAATGCTGGGAATTGGATTGAGATCCCTAAATCATTTCACACAAGCCAACAAATGATCACCAGAGGGTAACTATTTTCAGTTACAGCAGGGGTTCTCAGACTTTTGTACTGGTGACCCCTATCACACAGCAAGCCTCTGAGTGCGACCCCCCCTTAGACATTAAAAACACTTTTTTATATATTTAACACCATTATAAATGCTGGATGCAAAGTGGAGTTTGGGGTGGAGGCTGACAGCTCGCGACCCCCCATATAATACCCTCGCAACCCCCTAAGGGGTCCCGACCACTAGTTTGAGAACCCCTGAGTTACAGCCTCCCATGGGCCAGACTGAGGCCAGTGCCCTAGAGGCAAGAGGCTTCAAATCCCATCCAGCAATTTGGAGGGGGCAGGGATGCATCGCTTCACTAAAGTCAGATTACCTCTGGCAGCTGGGACTGAAGGCTGGCCTTCTCTGCCAAAGCATCATCAATGGACTCCAGAAAACTTCTTTCTGCCACGTCAAAAGCCTTTGAGGGGACAGGAAATATTAATAGGAGACAAGTTAGCAGCAGCTGTTTTGCAAACACAGCAATCTGATGTCTGCTTACCTTCCATCCTAACAAAAACTTAAACTAGTCAACAACTTTACAAACTGATGTATAGACTTGTATATACACAGGGATCACTACACCCACCAGTGAAGTGCAACCACTTTGAAGTGGAATGGTGAAACTGGGTAACAGCACGTAGGAATCTTATGCAACAGTTAAGGGCAGGAAATGAAAAATTAAACTCACAAGGAGACCAGAGAAATCTACTGCTGCTTTAGGAAATCGGTTTCACAATCCCATCTCCCCACATCCTAAATGTTTTCACTTCACTCACTCTCATAAACAAAAAAGGTCAATGGTGACCCGATACTCAACACAATTAATATTAACAAGCAGAGGGAAGGAACACAAGCCAAAATATGGAAAGAAAATGTTAAAGAATATTTAGATAAATTAAATGTATTCAAGTTGGCAGGGCCTGATTACATTCATCCTAGGGTACTTAAGGAACTAGCTACGCAATCTCAGAAGCATTAGCAATTATTTTCAAGAACTCCCAGAGGAGGGATGAAGTCCCAGAGTACTGGAGAACAGCAAACATAGTACGTATCTTTAAAAAGGGGAATGAAGAGGACCCAGGGAATTATAGACCAGGCATCCTAATTTCAATACCTGGAGAGATACTGGAACAAATGATTAAATAATCAATTTGTAAGCACCTAGAGGATAAAAGGGTTATAAAGAATAGCCAGCATGGATTTGTCAAGAACAAATCATCCCAGTCCAACCTAATTTCCTTCTTTGACAGAATTACTGGCATAGTGGAAGCAGTAGATGTGAGTGATATATCTTGATTTTAGTAAGGCTTTTGACACAGCCCCACATGACATTCTCATAAGAAAACTAAGAAAAATGCAGTCTAGATGAAAACACTATAAGGTGGGTGCCCAACTGGTTGAAAAACTGTACTCAAAAGAGTAGTTATCAATTGTTTGCTATCGAACTGGGATAATGTATCTAGCAGGGTCCCACAGGGGTCAGTCCTGGGTCTGGTACTAGTCAATATATTCATTAATGATTTGGATAATGGAGTGGAGAGTATGCTTGTAAAATGTGTGGATGACACCGGGCTGGGAGGGATTGAAAGCACACTGGAGGACAAGATTAGAATTCAAAAAGACCTTGACAAATTAGAGAACTGGTCTGAAATCAACAAGATGAAATTAAATAAAGACAAGTGCAAAGTACTTCACTTAGGAAGGAAAAATCAAATGCACAACCACAAAATGGGGACTAACTGGCTAGGGGGTAACACAGCTGAAAAGGGCCTGGGCTATAGCGGATCACAAACTGAATATGAGCCAACAACGTGATGCAGTTGCAAAAAAAGCTAATATCATTCTGAGGTGTATTAACAGGAGTGTTGTATGTAAGACATGAGAGGTAACTGTCCTGCTCTACTCGACATTCTTGAGGCCTCAGCTGGAGTACTGGGTCCAATTCTGGGCACCACATTTTAAGAAAGATGAGGATGAACTGGAGAGAGTCCAGAGAGCAACAAAAGTGATAAAAGGTTTAGAAAACTTGACCTATGAGGAACGATTAAAAAAACTGGGCCCATTTAGTCTTGAGAAAAGAAGACTGAGGCAGGGACCTGATGACAGTCTTCAAATATAATAAGGGCTGTTACAAAAAGGATGGTGATCAATTGATCGTCATGTCAGCAGAAGGTAGGACAAGAAGTAATGGGGCTTAATCAGCATCAATGGAGATTTAGATTAGATATTAGGAAAAACTTTCTAACTAAAAGGGTAGTTAAATTCTGGAATTGACTTCCAAGAGAAGTTGTGGAATTTCCACTGTTGGAGGTTTTAAGAAACAGGATAGACAAACAACTGTCAGGGGTGGTCTAGGTTTATTTGGTCCTGTCTCAGAGCAAGGGGCTGGATTTGATGATCCTTTGAGGTTCCTTCCATCTCTACAGTCACCTCTTTCTCCTTATAATCCCCTTCTCAAGCTGACCTGTTCCTATGTCCAAGAAAGACTGAATGCAGCTTCCTGCAGAGTTGTTAACACTGCACTAAGGGAAGTAGAGTGACAGAGGAAGGCTAGGCAAAAGTGAAATGAATACTGCTGTTCCACATTCTCAAGCCAAGTGCGCTCCCAGCTCCTGCCAGATGTCCACAATCTTCTCCCCGCCCTTTAAGAG